AGCATTCACCGCTTCTGGAGGCAGGTTGTTCCACTGGTTAATTGTTCTAACTGTCAGGAAGTTTCTCCTTAGTTCCAGGTTGCTTCTCTCCTTGATTAGTTTCCATCCGTTGCTTCTTGTCCTGCCTTCAGGGGCTTTGGAGAATAGCTTGACTCCCTCTTCTTTGGGGCAGCCCCTGAGATACTGGAACACTGCTATCCTCATCCTTCTCTTCATTAAACTGGACATACCCAATTCCAGCAACCGTTCCTTTTATGTTTTAGCCTCCAGTCCCCTAATCATCTTGGTTGCTCTTCTCTGTGCTCTTTCTAGAGTCTCAACATCTTTTTTACATCATGGTGACCAAAACTGGATGCAGTATTCCAAGTGTGGCCTTACCAAGGTCTTGTAAAGTGGTACGGATACTTTGCGTGATCTTGGTTCTGTTCCTCTGATAATGCAATATTTGATTGCATTGGCTCTTTTGGCAGCTCATATTTAAGTGATTGTCCAGTAGGACTCCAAGATCCCTCTTGCAGTTACTGCTATTGAGCCAGGTTCCATCTATTCTACACCTGTATATTTGTTTCTTCTTGCCTAAGTGTAAAACCTTACTTTTATCTATGTTCAATTTCATTTTGTTAGATGGTGTTAGAGTGTTCAAGTCTGTCAAGATACTTCTGTATCTTAAGCCTATCTTCTGAGATGCTGGCTATTCCTGCCAGCTTGTTGTTGTCTGCAAATTTGATGAGTTCCCCTTGATATTGAAGAGTATTGGGTCTAAAACGGAACCTTGGGGTACCCCACCGCTCACTTCCTTCCATGTAGATGTGGTTCTGTTAGGGACTACACTTTGAGTGTGGTTGGTTAACCAATTACGGATACATCTGATGCTATCCCACATTTTTCTCTCTTACCAAGAAGTAGGCTATGGTTTATTTTGTCAAACTTCAGTAAGTTCGGTAGATTTCACTTACAGAAGAAGGAAATGAAAAGCTGTCCACTGGGCCAGCATAGGGCCACCAGGTTTGGGCAAGGAATTCCATAGTCTTGAGGGATGTAGAATATGCCTGGAGGCAGTGGTGGAATCCAGCCAGTTTGCACCACTTCGGCAGAACTGGTAGCTAATTTTTTTGTTGCCCAGACCCAGAATGGACTTCTGGAAGCGGCATTCACACAGAGAACCGGTTGTTCACATATTTGAATCCCACCACTGCCCGGAGGGGTTGATCCTGAGCAATTAAAGACACCTGAGAGAGTTTCCTGGCTACTTCTTGATTGTTGTGAACTTTATTTTAGAGAAGACAGGATGCTAATGACAAAAGGGAATAATTGGCTCCCTGCTTGTATTGCGTGAATGGAGGTCCTTGCTTAGAGGCTTTCTGAAGGCCTGGAATCTTGAAGGCTGAGGCATCCATACATCCTCTGGGGGTGTGGTGCATAATTCGAGGGGCTACCACACTGATAGTTATTGGCACAGAGGTCATGCGTGTTCCAAGCATCTTGTGCCAAAATGCAACACTGGATCAGCTGCTACAGATGATTCCAGTCTTATTTGTTAAAAGGTGATTCTGAGCCAAATGGGAGAGCTCTCTCTTTTTTATTTTTCTGGTAGAAGCTGCCTTTCACCATCCCGGAGCTGGTGCAGTCTTCTCCGTGCCGCAGCTCCGATGGCGTGATCTACACAGGTGCCAGTGGGGAAAGTGGAAGAGGGGGAGGGGGGCCTCCATCCTTGGCTGGCGGAAGGATGCGCAAAGCATCAGCAAGGCTGGAGCCCGTTCCTACTTGAAGGGATGGGAGCACCCCGGAATATGTGTCTTCCGTCCTCAATTTTCCAGGAAAAAAGGAGGACACCTGGTTTCTTGTGAACCCGGCATCGGGGGAGAAGCAGAGCGTGCTGTCGCCAGAGGCCTGGGATGGGCTTCACCCCATAAGCCCCTTGTTGTTCATCGGACGAAGTGGTGAGCGTCCCTTGAGCCTCCATCCCTGAGAATGTTCAGGGGGAGAAACAGCAGCCTGTAGAGGAAGAAGGAGGAAGAGAGGAAGAAGGAGAGGGAGAGGGAGAGGGAGAGGAAAGGAGAGGGAGGAAGAGGGGGAGAGAGGGAGAAGGGGAGGGACAGGCAGGGAGGGAGAGGGTAAATCAATCTTGCTCTCCTCTGCAGAGTATGTCATCACCATGTATGACACCAAGACCCGGGAGCTGCAGTGGAATGCCACCTACCTGGACTACTCTGCTCCCTTCCATGAGCAGGACTCTGACTATAGTGAGTAATTGGGCAGAGCAAGCTGGCAGCCGGGATCCCCCCCTCCACGCCCCCTTCCTTCCTTGGCAGCTGGCAGGGGAAGGAGCAGCTGCAGAACTCAAGGGAATGTTGCTGTGGAGTCACAGTGCAGGCAAGTAGCCGAAGGAAGAAGAGCAGCCCTTCTAGCCCCATTGTGGGATGGGGGCGGGGTTTCAGATGAGGGCAGCTGGAGCTTTCCCACCCACTCCCCTAGTGCAGTGATGGCGAACCTTTTAGAGAATGAGTGCCCAAACTGCAACCCAAAACCCACTTATTTATCGCAAAGTGCCAGGGCTGCATCAGCATTGTGGTGCCCTTGGGGGGGGGCACTGGATGGGCGTGGCTGCAGAGGTCACGGCAGACTGGTTGAGCGTGGCCGGAGCCAGTGCCTCGCCATCTCTGGAGCATCCCCGGGGGGGCAACGCCGCTTGCTTGCTCACTTCCTGCTCTGTCGCTTCCAAACGCCATGTGCTCGCTAACTCTGGCGAACTCTGCTGGGGCAATGGTGCACATGCCCACAGAGAGGGCTTTCAGTGCTGCCTCTGGCACACGTGCCATAGGTTCGCCACCACTGGCCTAGTGCAAGTTTTGGGAGTGCACTTTCACTACTAAACATTAGGCTCTCCCTGCAAAAGCAGTTTGTTTCACCAGCCAGTCCATGTGATGTAAGCTTATTTTTAAACGTGTGATCTTTTCACATCTAGAAATTGATAGCCCAGCATCCCCTCCGCCCTGAAAGTCTCCCTCTCGCCAGAGCCAGTCTAGGCAGCTGTGCTTGATGGATCCTGTCAAAGACAAGGCAGGATTTAGCAGTGCGGCTGACCCTGGGATTGGCGCTTGGCTGGCATTCCAACTCAAGTATAGCTCTGCCGCCATGCCCAGTGACTGCCTCCCCCCCCCCCTTGGCACAGAAATGGCCCATTTTGCCTCAAGCGGAGATGGTTGGCTGGTGACGGTGGGCAAAGAGAGCGGAGAGGTGCTCTGGGTGCAGGACTATGGATCACCCGTGGTGGGCGTCTACAGCTGGCATCAGGACAGCCTGCGTCGGGCACCCCACCTCAGCATAGCCATGGAGAGCCTGCGCTACCTTATCCTGCACGCTCAGAAGATCCCCCTCCTCAACTGGACCTTCCGGATTAGCAAGGACTCCGTGGCCAAGACCCCTTTGCTGTAAGTGTCGATCCCAGGAGAGCTTGTGGCCGACGTCTGGGAAAGCAGTTCTGTCAAAAAACCAGGGGTGGCGTAGCTGTCTTTGTGGGGAGCCTAAGTGGGGGAAGGGAGATCCAGAAGGCTGAGAAGTTGAGCGTAGGGCTTTTGTCTGCTACCCTGTCCCTTGAGAGCTCCGGGCAACTGTGCAAGCCACAGACTGCCATTAGAACAGACCTTGAAGGGTCATGAAGAGAGTAAAGTCAGCTTCAGTTCCAGCAGCAAAGCGGAATTCATCGATAAGCCTCCTAAAGCAGGTGTTTGCCTAGGATGGGAATGCTTGGAAAGAGGCTTGAGGGGGATTTGCAACCTGCTGGGACCAGCGCATCTTAAGTGCCCCATCATGCTTCAGGAAGAACCCAGAGTAATTGGAACAAGTCCAGAGAAGAGGCAGGAGGAAATAAAGATGCCAGAAGAATGTGTGTGTGTGTGTGTGTTTATACTGTGCCTGAAAGCAGGTCACACAGAAGAGAGCAGAACATGGTGAAATGGAGTCACATTACAAGAAAGTAGAATCCAACTGAGCCTTCGAAGGCCCTTCCTTCCAGGGCAGATGGTTATGCAGACAGGCTGTGGGCTGCCTCCCTCGACCACAGTAGAGGCTGACCAGCCCCTCTGTCTTGGGCGATTTCTACTGTCACATGGGTTAGACTAGATGGCCCCAAGGTCCCCTTCCAACTTTAGTATCTTTCCATTCCAATTTAGTATTGGTTTTAATCTATGTTTGTTTTAACCTATTGTTAGCTGCCTTGAGAACTTGCCAGAATAGAAAAGTAGAACATGAACCATACATATATGGATACGTACGGTGTGTCTGTGTGTGTGTGTGTGTGTGTGCGCGCGCCTTTCAGATTGCTTTTCTTTTTTCAAAATGAACTTTGCTTTGTTTTTTGTATTTTTAAGACTGCTTCATTTTATGTATTTAAGGTGGGGCTGTGTGAGTTCTTTTGAATATTTCCCTGGGCTCTCCTGCGAAGTCAAAGAGAATTTGTGGGAACAAGTATAAGAAAAGGGGGGCAGGCTGCAGAGTGCCCAGGTCAGGCCTCTTGGTGCAAGAGAGCAAGCCATTGGCTGCCTGGCTTCCAGAGAAACAATGGGGTGCGGAAGGAGTGGGGTGGGGGCGGCATCTGCCACAGGGTTAACCCTGGTCTGTTTCCCCAGTGGTGGCGAACCTATGGCACGCATGCCAGAGGCGGCACTCAGAGCCCTCTCTGTGGGCACACGTGCTGTCACCCCAGCCCTGCCTCCCCCCACAGCCCCCTCATCAGCAGCCCCCCCCGGAGGAGAGTCATCCCCCGGGCATGGAGCAGCACAGCCAAGCACATGGCAGCTGGGCAGTAGGGACAAGATTCCGCCCTCGCGCCCTGTCGCGCGCAGATGATGCTGTGGGGCGTGGATGGACAGCGTGTCCATGGCGCTGCAGGGCCGCCTGAGCGATCTGCGGCGTGCCGTGGAGGCGGTGGGTGGCCTGGCAGGTGGGGCAAGGTGGGGGCAGGGGTGGGGCGGGCGGGGCAGAACAATGAGGGTGGGGGGTGGTGGTTTTTGCGCACTCGGTCTCGAAAAGGTTTGCCATCACTGTTCTAGGAAATAAATCCTGGCTGCATATTAGCTACCATATCACCTCCCTCTGGGCAAGAGCTTTGATCCTCTGCTTCTTTGGTTCAGTGCTGACCAGCCCCCCCTGGCAGCACCTGCAGCCCAGCCCCTCCATCCAGGGCCATCGTGGGAGCAGGTGAACAGGAGCCATTGTGGCTGCCAGCCCCCAATTTGTGCCTCTTTAAGCCTGTGCACGGTGGAGCCATCAGTGCACCTGGATTTGGGGATTGAGTTGATTTATATTCTGCTTTTATTCTGTGCAACGCACAGAGGTGTGCACAAGCCCTCATTCCTCCTCCTTTCTCCTAAAACCACCCTGGGAGGTGGATTGAAGAATGCTGTGTTAGATTGTCACTGCCTAGCCAGAGCTTAACCTCCAGGCACTCGGTTCCTTCTGAATCTCACCAAAATCTGCATGGCAGTTCTCTGTGCCACTGAGGGGCTTCCTCACCGTTCCTGGCCCTCCTTTTTGTTTCAGCACAACCCTGTATGTGGGAAAACATGCGGGGGGTTTCTACGCTTTGACATCCCTGGTGCATGAAGGCATGGCTCTGGTGGTGAGTTCCCTTGGTGGGGCACAAAATGGGTAGCTGGGTGGTGGGTCCTGCTGCTGACTGGGCTGTCTCTGCCTCCTGCAGCCTCAGGGAGTGGCTCTGGCCCAGGGCAGTGGTCCCATCACACGTGATGTGACGCTCCAAAGGTCTGGTGAGTGCAAGATCACACCCAGCACGGGCATCCAGTACCCGCCGGGCACCATCTTCCTGCCCCACAGCCAGTGGCTGCTGATAGGTGAGTTTCTGGGCTCCAGGGCCCACGCCGAGAGACAGCCTCCATTTCCACCAGAAGTTGCCCAGAGTCCCTGAATGGTGGGGGAAGAACACCCTCCCCCAGACTGAATGGTGCACAATGGGGCCATTCTGCATAAGGACACACAGGTACACAGTGGCAGGCACGGGCTAAACCCCTTTCACCACTGATCCCTGGAGGGTGGTCATGCCAAGGTCTCTGAGGTCCAGAAAGGGGAGGGGGGAGAGATTGTGAGTAGGAGATTTGGGAGAAACTGAAGGTCCCTGAGGATCAGCACTGGCTGGGAGCAGAGAGGAAGGGGTGGAATTTAAGAAAAGAAGTAGTCAGCATGACTGAAGCTTTGGAAGGCAGGCAGAGCAGACAGGTTGAAGCCCAGCCATGGGGTGCTCTCCTTGGTGAGGGCTCCCGACTCAGCAGGGGGACTCCAGGCTCCCCCCCTTCTTTCCAGGTCATCACGAGATGCCCCCGCTTGTCCACACCACCATGCTGAGGGCCCTTCCTGGCAGCCTGCGGAGGAACCCGGAGGCTGTTGCACCACACAGCTCCCCTGCTCACAGCCTGTTTGAAGAGGTATGGGCCAGAGGGGGCTTGGGCTGATGTGGGGCGGGGAAGGGCTGCAGTCCGGGTGATGATGGCCTTCTAAGAGAAGAGGGATGCCCGGCCTCGACCCTGGCACTCCAGGCTGCTCCACCCAGTATCCTCGTCGGAAGGTATAGAGCAAGCAATTCAGCCCTGGTGTCTCCAGGCTTTTCTTGCAAACACCCCAACAATCACAAGCTAATGTGGGAATGGAGGGGGGAGCAAGAGGCACAAGCAAGGGGCGTGCTTGCTCTCTTCCCCTTCCCCACTACAGGTGGCATCTGGGGCAAAAGAGCCGGCCTGGCTGGCCCCACTTCCAGGACAGAGTGGCTGGGGGATGGCTGTGTCCCCCCCCCCGTCCTTGCCAAGAGCTTCCTGGTCTGTTTCAGTTCCTGGCCCCTGAAGGACCACGGGAGGATCATGCTGGTGGTCGGCCCTGGGGGGATCATGCCAGGAAGGAGGCTCCAGTGGAAGTGGATCCCTCATTTGGCAGCTGGGAGCTCGTTGTGGTTGGCGTGGCTTCCATCTGTTGGGGCGGGGGGCTCCTCTGCCTCCTGCTCTGGGTGAGTGGGCTTCATCTGATCCTCTTCCAGCTTTCTGTGCTTTGGGGGGATTGCAGAGGCCCCGGGGCCAAGGTCAGAAGAGGTTCCCATGGTCCCTGCCAGCTGCTAGAGGAGGGCACCCTTCATGGCCAGTAGTGGGGAGGGGGTCTCTGCCAGGATGTAGCTAGTCTTGCCCCCAGCCTGATGATGGGGCCCCTGGCAGTAAAGGCAGGTGGTCTCTTCCCCTTTCATTCCTGCTGCTGCTCTCCCAGAGGGTCTCGCTTGAGCGCAGCTCTGGCCAGCAGCCTCCTGCAGCCTCTAGCCATTTCTCAAGAATGACTCCTGAAGGGTCCCTGGAGCTGAACCAGGGGGCAGACCAGCCCCCCTCCTCAGCCTCGGTGGATAAAGCCTCCCTCCAGAGCCCTGGTCCAGGTGGGTACCTGCCCAGCTAGCAGAGGGTGTGTTGGGGAAGGACGGGGGGCTGTTGAAGGGGCCACTAGGGTGACCCCTATTCTCTCCCCTCAGCAGGTGTTGCCCCAGAAATGGTTACTGTGGGAAAGCTCTCCTTCAGGCCCCTGGAGGTGCTGGGCCGTGGGGCAGGGGGCACCTTTGTGTTCCGGTGAGTTGGAGCTGCTCCTGAGCTGAGTAAATTGGGGACAGGTCCCTGAAGCAAGTGCCCAGCCCTGCAATCCAACCAAGGGGCTTCCCTGCAGGCCAAGGGTCCTGCGTTGCTCAATCTTGGCATCCTGAAGGAGCAGCAGGATGGGCCTCCCTCTGTGTCCAGGATGCAGAAGTGCTGGGCATCCTCACAGGAGCCGTGCCGGCCTTTGGCGCTTCCTGGGAGGGCAGAGGCAGAGCGAGGGCTTTGTTGGGAGGAGGGGAGGGGGACATTGTGGGCACAGAGGAGAAGCCATTCCTCCCCATCACCTCACCTGGGTGGCTTCCTTCTTCAGAGGCCGCTTTGATGGGCGCGATGTGGCCGTGAAGCGTTTGCTTCTGGACAGCATCCGTTTGGTGGACCGTGAGGTGCGGCTGCTGCGCGAGTCGGATGCGCATCCCAATGTGGTGCGCTATTTCTGCACCGAGGCCGACGGGCAGTTCCACTACATCGCCCTTGAGCTGTGCTCTGCCACCCTGCAGCAGGTGAGGAGGCACGCCTGCCGGGACCCCCCTCTGGTCCCCCCTCGCATCCCTGCAATAATTTTGTTCCAAGGAGGAAAATATTAACTCACCCTCTACAATAATCACACCCAATGTGCTGCATTGGATAAACCTGTCATATGAAACGACACCACTTCCCACAAGCCTGGGAAGTCTGGCAGCCAGTTCAGATGTTCTCCTTGCGGGGCCGTCCTGAGCCGGGAGCTGCCCGATTTCAATATGGAGACTCTGGCTTACCTTTCCCCCAGGCCAAATGTTCGGAAATGATGGAAAATCCAACCGTATCTGTATGAGGGCTAGAAATAACCTTTGGTTAAGTACTTCAAGTGTGGCTTGGAAGGATCTCTTCCTAAATGCTTGTGAACTTTACAGTTTATCAAAAAAGAGTCCGTCTGCCATAGGGGGACTTGGCAGATTCTTTAAGGCTGTAAGAACTAATGGTTGTTCCTGCATAGCTGGGTGGGGGGAGTGGAGGACAGACTTGATGCTGGGGGCTCCTGGCAAGGATTGCCCTGCTCTCTTGCCTTCTGCCCCCTCCAGTACGTGGAGAGCTCCGTCTTCCCTGGAAAAGGCTTGGATCCACTCTCCCTGCTGTCCCAGACCATGTCCGGACTGGCACATCTGCACTCCCTCAGCATAGGTGAGACACACACCCCCATAGCAAGGGCCGTTGCCTCCCCCTCCCCTTTAAACAGAAGCCGGGTGTTCGTTCTCCAGGCTTGTGCTGAGGACCCTTTTCTCTCCAGCTCACCGTGACCTGAAGCCCTGCAACATTCTGATCTCGGTCCCTGACGGGCAAGGGCGCTTCCGAGCCGTCATCTCCGACTTCGGCCTGTGCAAGAAGTTGCAGGGGGGGCACCAGAGCTTCAGTCTCGGCTCAGGCATTCCTGGCACGGAGGGGTGGATCGCGCCCGAGATGCTCAGGGAGGACGCGCAGGAGAGCCCCGTGAGTCCGATTGACTGCCCTGCTTTTCCTGGGGTCCAGGAGTGGAAAGTCCCTGGGGACTTTGGGGACTTCCCCTGACCTCCCCCCAGGGGAAATAGAGGGCCAGAGAAAAGGTAGGATAGAAATCTCGCTGCTGCTTCTGGCCATGGCTTCCCTTCTCTCTTGCAGACTTGTGGGGTGGACATCTTCTCCGCTGGCTGCATCTTCTACTACGTCCTGTCCCACGGGCAGCATCCCTTTGGGCACAGCTTCCATCGCCAGGCCAACATTCTTGTAGGCGCCTACCAACTGCCGAGGCTCCAGCAGGACACTCACAGTAAGGAGGGTGCTGTGGGATGCTTTGTCCCTGTGGGAAGGGGGGTGGGGAAGCCCCCTCCCTTGCGCCATGCCTACTTGGGGTCTCAAACCAGCCCCTCTAAGCCTCTCTCGGCTAGCAGGACCTGGGGTAGCTCCCTGGAGCTCCTGGCTCATCTCCGGCCTCTGTTATTCAGCCATGGCCAAGACCCTTTCCCTCAGCTTCACCTGCTGTCTGCTAGGCTACCCTACCTTGCGGGGGGTGCTAAAGGTAGTGACGACCTACTTTCTGCTTGCTCTCCCAGGCCACCTGGTAGGGCGGGACTTGATAGAAGCCATGATCAGCAGTGACCCCCGTCTGCGCCCCTCGGCTGCCCAGGTGCTCCGGCACCCCTTCTTCTGGGGCCCTGAGAAGCAGCTGCAGTTCTTCCAGGTGAGTTCTGGGTGGTGGACACTCCTCCTGGCTTCCCTTCTCAGTCGCACTCTGCCCTGCTGCCCACTCTCTCCCATCGGCAGGATGTCAGTGACCGCCTTGAAAAGGAGCTGGCAGACGGGCCTCTGGTCAGCACCCTGGAGGCCGACAGCCTGATGGTGGTCCGAGGGAATTGGCAGGTGCATCTCTCTGCCCCACTACAGGCAGGTAGGCGCTTGCCCTCTCTGGACCCACTGGGTGGCCCGGGAGAGGGAGAGAACTGCAGGAGCCTTGCTGACCCTCTTGGCCCCTCTCACCCCCCTCCCAGACCTCAGGAAGTTCCGGAGATACCAGGGCAGCTCAGTCCGTGACCTGTTGCGAGCCATGAGGAACAAGGTACTCTGCCAACCCTGGCTGGGCTCTTCCGGGAATGCAAGGCCCTCCGTGGCTGAGTGGCACTTGAGTGAGTGGGCTGCTCCCATTCGCTCAGGCACCTCCTGTCCCCCTGGTCTCACCATCACAGCCACAGCCACACTGAGTGTGGCACTGTCCCTTGGGGGCCCTGGCACCTGGACTCTTTCTCCTTCAGAAGCATCACTACTACGAACTGCCCAGCAATGTCCAGGAGGCCCTTGGCAGCCTCCCCCACGGATTCATCCAGTACTTCCTGGACCGCTTTCCCTGCCTGCTGCTGCACACTTACCGGGCCCTGCGCCTATGCGCTGCTGAGCAGCTCTTCCGGAGATACTACTGCCAGGGGGAGTGAGGTGCTTTCCAGAGGGACGGAGCTCACCGGCCCCAGCCAGCACATGCCAGCCTGCCCTGCTCTGGAGGGACCCATTCGGCACCAGCACAGGGCATCCGAGCCCCACCTGCTCCCTGAGGAATAGTGTTCGTGCGGGTCAGAAGCTAATTTGTGGGGCTTCCAGGAGGCCCCAGGCAGAAGAGAGCAGAGGAGTGGGGGGGGGCACCCCTCCCAAAAGAATCTGCTGCCTTCCCTTGAATTCTCACCTGAAGAAAATGGCCGAGCATCACGTGTCACCGTGGGCTGCATTGCTGATGCAGCGTGCCTTGCGTGACCAGTAACGAACTGGGCCCTGCTGCAGACATTCCAGAGGGGGGGGTCTCCTGACCTCTAAATGCAGGCATTTTATTCTCAGACACACAATGAACGTGGAAGCAGGGAGCATCTCCCCTTGCCTCAGAAGCCTTCTGGAGTGAGGCTGGGGGGGGGGGTAGTAGCGGGTGGGGTAGTAGCAGAAAGCTGCAAATCGGATGCGCAAAGCACCCTACACAGTAGTAAGGCCACAGAAAGGAAGGAAGCAGAACCCCTGTGCTCCGCAGCTGGACGACCATGAGGAAGGAGCCCTTTTCTCAGCATTTCCTGGCTCCGGGGGGAGCCAACGGCAGGGCTGGGGCCCCGCTTGGACTAAGATTGCACGGAGAAGGCACTTTGGGGATCAGGCTTGAGAATGTGAAATGCTGTAACTACATTTTAATTGTGATTGCACTTACACAGAAGTCCAAGGCTGGACTTACTTTAGCCATAATTTGATGTACTAGACAGAATTAGATCAAATTTGAACGTGAAAGTATTGTCACTGTTATTTTTTTTAATTAGATAATTTTAATGGATTGTGGAAATGCGAGTCAAACTATAGCTTGGTTTCAGGAAAACATTTGGCAAAATTTGTCACGGCTAGCTCCACAGCAGCCCTGACGCTCACTGAAAGAGGACCAGGAGGGAGTCCTGGGGCCACCCAGAGATCAGCCTGTATTTTGACCATTAATGTGCCGGATGGGATTAGCACAGCAGCCCAGATGGCTGCCAAGAGAGAAGATCCGCTCTCCTGCACGTGCTGCTGCCATGATTGCTGAAGGCCTAGAAAATAATGCAAGACTGATTCAGGCAGCAATCATACAGTAAACCCGGGGTTTGCTAGGGGCCACTTTTGCCGTAAAGCAAAAGGGTTTGGTTTTTTTTTTTTTTGGCAAAACTGTCATGACCACAGGATGGTACCAATGATGTAAATATGGCTTGGTTGCCAGACCGAATGCAGTCACGTGACCCTGGGACTCCTTACTGTTGAAATTTTGAATCTGGGTCGCAAGTACCCTCCTAGGGAGGTCCATTGCAGCTCCTGTCACTAAGTGGCTGGCTGTAAGTTGAGGATGACCTATACTCCCCAACTGAAGCAACCATGGAACATTCTGGCAGCGTTTGTCTCAGAGGACAGGTGTAACTGAGACCCTCTGATGCCCTTGCGCAAAGACCGCCAGTGTGGCCCCTGATCAGGTTCTTCATCTTGCTGGTGGCCCATGGGAGGGGGGTTCAGCCCGTTGGGGCATCAGATCAGCAGTTGTGTTCACTGGACTCAGCCACTCATCAAATGGTCTGCTGTGTGAAGCCCAGCAAGGCTATTTGGCAAACTGTGTTTAGCTGTACAGTGATAAAAATCTCCCACAGTAAACCATGGAAGCAACAGAAGCATGCCTAAAATGGGTTTGTCTTACGTGTACAAATTAGCTTAAAATATCCCCGCCAGGCTCTGGGTTCTAATTGTGAGGACAGAGAAGATCGGCGCTCCCATCTCTTTAGGGGCATCCACACAAACATGCCCCTCTCTGCCACTTTTGGCAGGAATAGACGAGGAGAGGGCTTCCTCAACCGGTCAGGGGCTCAGCCGTTAAGGCCCTTAAAAGCAGTGGCGAAGTGCCAGCACGGCTCCTTAGGGCCAGCAACGGCCCAGGGATCAGCAGACGACAGCTGTGGGGCAGGGACTGCAGTGGCCAGGCATTCCCTGTCCCAGCAGGGCCACTCTGGACATGCACGATGCCTTGGGAGTGGGGAGTACATCCAGGCAACAAAGGGTCCCCACTGCCTGAGGCCTCCATCCTGGGTTTGCTGGTCCTTGTCAAGCCCACCCCCCTTCCATCACTTGGGGGTCGCTCACCTGTGGGTGCACCAAGCCTCCAGTGACCCAGGATCTCCCTCAGGAAGTTCAGCTGAAGGCTGCCGTTCACTGCTTGTGGGGTCTTTGGCTGCAATCGCGAGAAATCCCCAGGCCAGGCGCTCCAGGTTGCTGGATGGGCTGGGAGTGGACCTCAGAACAACTGTGGTCCACCGCCTGGCTAAGAAGACCTGGCCTGGGGGTTGACGAGAGCCGCTCCCCCTCGTCTCCTATGCATTCCCTTCTGCCTCAACTCACGACGCCAGTGCTGTGAGCTGACCTCCCCCCCCCGATGCCACACCCCCTCCCAAGAGGACAAGGTGGGCTGGGGTGGAGGCCAGCTTTGGCGGAGAAGTCAGCCAAAGCTCCTTCAGAGGTCGGCCAGGGCCATACGTACTTCTCCCGCCTGGGGAGGCTCTCGTGGCGTGGGCCAAAACCGCCTTTCTTGCAGGCTTTCATGGCCACCCTCCCTTCTGCACAGGGCTGGCGGCTGTGGGAGACAGGGGTGGGCTCAGAGAGGAAAAGCTCAGCTGGAGGAGAGTCCCCAGTCCCAGGAAAAGCAAGCAAAGGCCTGATTCTCCGTTGCACAAAGCCAAAAGGAAAGGAGCCGTGCAGCCGCTAAGCCACGGCTGCAGCCGCCTGACTGGAAAGGGGCTGCCTCATCCGTTGGTGCAGGGCCTGAGCCCACCTCCAGAGAGGGGCTGGAGAAGGAATCTGGCTGGGTGAAATCTCTTTATTCAAAGTGAGTATAAAACAGTTTAGTCTGAATGGGGGGCAGAAAAGGGGAGGGGGCTTTCCTATCAGAATCTGAAGAAAAGGCATCCTGTTATGTTACAGTCCTTTGGTTGCCAAGGGGCCCCCGGGCCCCCAAAGCAGCCTGGGGCCTTGTGGGGCCTGGCCAGGGAGGGCCCTCCAGGGGGGCTGCACAGTTCTGAGCCAAGCGGAGCCTCCTCCGCCTCTAGCTTGGCGCCTGTGTGGAGGGGGCTCCCGATTTGGAGGACAGCAGCTTCTCCACCATGGTGCGGGCATAACGGAGGCGGCTGGCCAGTTCCTTGCAGCAGCCAAACTCCTCAATCAGGGCCAGTTTGTAGGTGTGGAACTCGCGCCGTTCATTGATGTAGGTGACGGCGGCCATCAAGGGGCAGAGGATGAGCTTGGTGTGGTCCTGTGTGCCAAGAACAGACAGCGCAGGGCTCGCTTAGCATCAGGAGGCAGCAGTCCCTAATGGCAAAGCACTCGGGCCTACCCTCCTAAAAGCAAGCCTGTGGCCTCATTCTGAGAAGGGATTCAGGGTTTCGGCTAGGAGGACCCCAGGCCTGGGGGCTGCGAGAACTACAGGGCTAACTCAGAAACATTGTCTGCCCCCTTTCCTCCCAGGAAGGCCAGATGGATTGGAAGGGGGGGTCAGTTCCTCCATCACTGAAGCCTTGCAAGACCACTGTTTATTCCCTCTGGTGGGCAGCTCCCACCTGCCCCCCCCCCCACCACAGAGGGCTCCACGGTCCACTCGTCACCTGGAAGAAGTTGACCTGCACGGTGCCATTGCTCAGGTGCAGGACGATGGCACTGCGAGTGCGGAACCAGTTCAAGAGGTAGGGCAGCCGCGCCAACTCGTCCCCTTCCCGGGGGGTCACGTTTGCACCAGCTTTCAGCAAATGTTCACTCATGTAGTTTTGGAAATACTCCAGCAGCTTAATCTGAGAAGGATGGAGCAGAGCGGATTAGCCGACCAGGGCAGGGCTAAGCCACAGCACAAGAAGACCCCCCTTCCAGGAAAAAGCCAGAACGCCCCCTCCTCTGCATCCCTGGCCCTGCGGCCTTGCCCATCTCTTGGACGGGAGCATCCGTCCACCAAGCCTTTTGACCCACCGGCTTTTCCTCCAGTCCAGATGGAAATAGGGATGCCCCTTCAAGCACAGACTTCAAGATTGCAACGGAGGAGACCGTCTTCCCTCCCCCTCCCCATCAGAGACAGAAGGGGAAACTGAGGCAAGGGTAGAGCAGTGCCCCAAGGGTCCTCTCTCACCTTCTTGCTGAAAGTATCTGGGTAAGATTGCACGTCAAAATACAATTCAGACCCATTCTGGTCAATGTACTGCAGTTTGTGCCCATCACTGTACATGATGAGGCGAGTAGAGTCGTTGAAAAGGACCCCGACACTGTTGTCACACAGTTGGTAGCCTGCGGAAGAGAAGGCAGGGGCGTCCTCAGCTACCTTGGATCAGGCGGCAATCCCACAAGGATTGCTTTGACCTAGCCGGAGAGCAAGACTGCAGCCAGCCAGACACATGCTGTCTGCATGCAGGGAGCGTTTGGGAATCGGGCCAAGACCACCGAGGCATCTGGCTGGATCGCACCCTTTCTCCGCACACGATGGGGAAAGCCCTGACTGGCACAAGGGGTTTAGCTGGACTGGGAAAGAGCGCTCTCTAATTCCCTCAGGTATACCAGTCTTTTAAAAGAAACATATCACAGCGAGCCCTGCTCAACATATGACCACTCATTCAGATGAACAATGGCCTTACGGCCCGTGGCCAACATTATGGCTGTTGCAATGCCCCCGTGACCGTGTGACCCTTTCAGCCAGAAGCTGAGAGGAGTGGGAAGTGGGAAGGCCACTGCAGTGCCATGGGGTGCGTTGCTGGGAGACCTGAAGGAGCAGGTGGGGGACAGATTCATCGTGGGGAAAATATCAGTAAGAGTTAAGACTGATTTCATAGTACATAATCAGTTAAATCTCTTTAACTCAATCCAGAAAAAGAGAGAAGCAAAAGGGAGAGAAATTGCTGGAATTCTGACAAACGTCACCAGCCTA